TGGACAGAGGTATTCCAATATACACTGTTTCTAGGCCAAAGACAAAGAACATCATCATCTACATATCTATACCATGGAATTTTTAGACAAGCTTAATGATTTGTCCCAAGTATCACATTCAAACTTGAAAGAGAAATAAATGGATCCCTTCCATTCCTTGATATGCTTATCATGAGAAATGGCCAAAACTACAAATTTAAGGTATACAGAAAGCCCACACAGATAGACAGTTTCATACACTTTTTATCGAATCACCTGGAGTCTACCAAAATGTCAGTTTTTTCTGCTATGTTCTTAAGATGTCTGCGTATTTGTGACTGCATTTATTGATGATGAATTGAAACACATTCGTTCCATTGCACAAAAACTTGGGTACCCTTCTGTGTTTGTTGATCGTTGTTTTAAAAGGGTTAAAACATCCTTTCATTCCTCTCAAACCAGGCAAATTCCTACACTTAAGAATATTTTGACTCTGCCCTATCGTAATGAATTTGTCCCGTTAGTTCGGTCGCCTCAAACTACTAAATGTTAATGTTGTTTTCAAGTATGACTCAACCATTACCAATATGTTAATAAGAAATAGCCCAAGTTTGAATGTAAATGGAAGTGTTTATTGTATTCCATGTAGCAAATGTAAATGTAATTAAGTAGGACAGACAGGAAAAACACTGCAGCTCAGAATCAAACAACATAAGTACAATATCAGAACAGCATCTGAAAGCAATGCCATGTTCGTTCATGTTAGGAATAATAATCATCCCATTGCTTGGGAAAAAAGCTTAGAAGTATTCAAATCATCTTGTGTCACAGAAAGACTTCTGGTTGAAGCAAGTTTGATTAAGGAATTAAAATCAATAAACAATAGTGATGGTCAGTTCAAAACTGATAATATGTTACATAAATTTATTTGTCAGTGGTCCAAGGTTAAAAATGATTTGAAAACCTTTGATCTAGATGTAGGATAGTTATTTAGTGGGTCCCTTATTTTTGACCTGACCTGACTAGTCACGTCGCCCCCATCTCTTAAGCTCCTCTACGTGTGTGTCGGTGTTGGTGTGGGGATTAGTGGATGACATCATTATGACCTGACCTCATGTTTAATAAGGTCACCCTGTATATTTAAACCTCTTTCTGTCCATGTAATCCAGTTGCCTCTGAAGATGTCTTGAATAAAGACGAAAGCTAAGGTGCTCCGTTGTTTCCCTTTTCCCGTGTGATTTTATCAAGATTTATCTTATCCACGTTTTCATTGTGGATCTACATGATATATATTTCATGTAAATCCACAATAAAAACGTGGATAAGATAAATCTTGATAAAATCACACGGGAAAATGGAAACAACGGAGTACCTTAGCTTTCGTCTTTATTCAAGACATCTTCAGAGGCAACTGAAGTTGTCTTGAATAAAGACGAAAGCTAAGGTACTCCGTTGTTTCCATTTTCCCGTGTGATTTTATCATGATATATATATATATATATATATATATATATATATATATATATATATATATATATATATATATATATATATATATATATATATATATATATATATATAATTTTTTTTTAACTTCGACTTTCAGGAAGGAAAAAGAAATTAATAAAAAATGTCCTAATGCGTTATAATCCACCATTCAATATTATTTACAAGCTAAAAATATCAAAGTTTATTATAATTTAAACAGCATAAATAGTTTAACAAGACACGAGTAGTGAATGTGAAGTGTAAATTACTTCCACCCTTCCGTCCGTCCTTCTGTCTAAGCCGTCTTAAGGAATAAACAAAAGTCAATGCCAAGTATCTCAAGCGTTTCTTTACTGCTGAAGTTTGATAAAGCTTAAGTTTTATGTGGTAGAGACGCTCAGGCCAGGAGCGTAACACGCAGAATCAGGGGAGCGTTTCAGTGGCTGGATTGTGTTGTGATGTTCCCGCCCTCTGTGTCACGGGGAGTCGTCTCGATGTACTGGAACTCTGTTTTGGGGGAAATTTTTAATAAGTTTTTCGATTTTTTGTTTAATGTCTCGGTTTACCATTGTTTATATGTTGTGTGTGTTTTTTGTTTTGTCTTGCCCTGTTTTTAATGCCTCGATTTAGCTCTTATCATTTTATTTTTCTTATTTATATTTTATATATATATTTTTTTTGGGGGGGGGGGGCCTTGGCTTGATATAGGTGTACTTTCGGTTCTTTTTCATTAGTTTGTCTTTTTTATGATCTCGATTTTCCTTTGCTTATGGATTTTTTTATTATTTTCTCCGTTGCTTTGTTAATGACAGTTGACCTCGACATTTTTATACTTTTTTATTATTTTCTTGACTCGTGTGTGTGTGTGGGGGGGGGGGGAACTGTCATTTTTTAAGTTTCTTATTGGATCAGTTTTTTTAAGTATGTGAGTAACACGATGCATTTAGGTAACTCACCAAACATCTGTGTAACTTACAATGCATCTAGGTAACTCACGATACATATAGTATGTAACTCACAATGCATCTAGGAAACTCAGGATACATCTAGGTAATTCACGATGTATCTAGGTAACTAGCGATGTATCTAGGTAACTCACCATACATCTGTGTAGCTTACAATGCATCTAGGTAACTCACGATACATATAGGTAACTCACGATGTATCTAGGTAACTAGCAATGTATCTAGGTAACTCACGATGTATCTAGGTAACTCACGATGTATCTAGGTAACTAGCGATGTATCTAGGTAACTCACGATGTATCTAGGTAACTAGCGATGTATCTAGGTAACTCACAATACATCTAGGTAACTCACGATACATCTAGGCAACTCACGAAGCACTCGAGTTGCTTTAGGATAACACACTTACCTCTCTTATCAACATCACCTTCTTGCATCAACTTAAATTATTTTCAATTTGATTTCCACGAATATTTCTTGAAGAGAAGATTTCCTCCTCTCATCTTCCTTCGCATCTTCATTTGTGGTCCACTCACACGAAATTTTATGTTTTATCAAAATATCAAATTATGAAGCTAGTCATTTTTTTTATTAATTAGATGGCAGTTTTATTTTTAGGTACGCAGTTAAAATAAAAGAATTGTACAAGCCTTCCTTTATTTTTTTTATTAATAATATTCCACATGCATAACTATTTCAGATATGCCGCAGAATTTCCAAAAGCGACAGATTTATAATGGTCGAATAAACCCTCAACCTGATTTAAATCCCGGTGCATGATTTAAGATCTGACGCTTACATATTTCCCCGATTTTCTCAGTATCTGAAAGTGATGAAGAGATTCCCAGAACGTTTCATTCGCAATAAAAAAAAATATCAACTTGCGTTTTTTTTCACAGAGTGGTTGGGGAAGGTTGATGTATACGTTTATTGTTTAACACATGAGGAGAATTGATTCACATTGAGATCGAGATTGATAGATAAACTGGCAGAGGTTATGTAGACAATAGATAAACTAACACATTAATAGATTGATAGACACTCTGATAGACATATAGGTTGATATAGATAGACTAATAAACGTATAGATATTCTCATAAACTAAATAGATATATTACTAGACTAATAGATTGATAGATAGAATAGTATTTTGATGGATAGACTGAGAAGTACATAGCTATACTGTCAGATGCATAGACTGATAATTATAGATCTCCTTGTAGAATGAGATTGATAGATTGATAAATCCAATCCATAATTCGGTAAACTAGTGGATTTTTAGCTGCATAGACAGATTGACTGACAGATCTACTGATTGGCTGCTGAGTTAAATAGACTGCTGGAGTTATAGGTTGACTGACAGTTAAAGAGGATGATGGGTGATTCATAATCTGATAGCCTGGTACGTCGTGTATTAGATGGTCAGGCTGATAGCTGGATGGACGGATAGACTGACTGACCTATTGATAGACTGACTACTGACTGACCTATTGATAGACTGACTGACTGACTGACTTATTGATAGACTGACTGGCTGACTTATAGGTAGACTGACTGACAACTAGGTAAATAGCTGTACCAATGAATTAATAAACATAAATTGATAGACTGATCTTCTGGTAAACTTTGTGACCAATGGACAGATAAAGTGATCAGGGTCTCCTACGTGTTAGATAACTAGACTGAAAACTGATTGTTGAATAGATCTTTAGATGAACAGATATATACAGTAGCTAGAACAACTATCTGTGCATACTTTGTGGGAAACAATGAGACCATGGATGATAAGTCTTGGTATATGAGGGCTGTCACTAGTCACACGTAAAATTTCGGAGCACAGATAGTCGTTTTAGCTACTGTACAATAGACAATTGTTAGCCAATAGTTAATAGAAAGTTAAGGTCGAATTATTGATAACCTTTATGTGTGAGTGTATGAAATTGTCTAGTGATTTTGCCCAGGTCATGAAATGGGTTCCTAACCTCACCTAATGTAAACAAACCCAATCTAAGATAACCTAACCAAACCAAACCTATTCCAACGTAACCTAACGCAATCTAATTTAATCCAAAGCAACCTAACCTTGCCTAATTTAACCGATTCCAACCATACTTTACCTAACCTGACCCAACTTAACCGAATTTATAATAACTTATTTAACCTAACCTATTTTAACCTAACACAACGTAACCTAAAGCAATCTAGTATAATCCAATCTCATAACCTAACCTAACCCATTTTTTGTACAGTATGATTACTTTTTGAGATTTTCTTAGTGTTTATTCATTCTTCTGATTTACGTATGTTTGAGGTTAAGTCCTTCATTAAACATCGTCTACAACTCCTCGTGTCGTCTGTGTGTGTCGTTATTGTTCATAGAAAGAGACATTACTCCTCAGTGCAGATACAATGTGTTTATAGTGCCACAATTTGCAACTTTCTCTTTTTGGGGATATTCTCTTTTAATCTTTTTATTAGTTATTGTTGCTCTGTGTTTTGTTTTTGTCTGGTGAACACACAAACACACACACAAAAAAAGATGTAAGGGATAATGAAAGATCTTGTGAATCATTTTAATGCTTTTTTATTACAATGTAATCACTTTACCACAGCTTTTCATTGGTTGTAAACATTTTACACTGCGCATCTTGTCTTAATTTTTGTTTTCAGTAACAAACATCTAATTAAGCTTTTTTTTGTTTTTAAAAGTCTTTGGGAACAATGCTTGTCTAGCGTCGCCTTGGACTATTAGCACGGCCTGTACAGGAGTTTGCTACCCCCCGTCACATCACGCCAATGTCACTCATGCAGACATCGGCCATAAGTCTCATTTTCTTTGTCTTACTGTCGAAGAATAGTTTGTTTACGATCTCCATGGGATTCAACACTAAAATTTCATACACCTGGAGCTCACAATCCGTTGGCTAAAAGCGATATATTTTTTTTTGGTATTTCACTTTCATGTATACAAATGTAAAATATATATATATGATACAGCACTAAAGCATCTCAGAAAAGTATGTTTTCTTCTTTGTTTATGCAATTCCTAAAAAGAGTGTGAATACATTTTGATTCCTATCTTGCCTGTCTTGCAAGTCCTAAGGGTACAAGTCCAAATAACATGAAACTCCGAGGCCTTCATGCCTAAATTCCCACACACACACACACTCTCTTCCTCAGTTTAGGCGCCGGGAGCACCAACACAGTAACCATTAGAAGGACACATACAGTTGTTGTTGTTTATATAAAGGTCAGTGAGGGCAAAGAAAAAAAAGAAAAACAATAATAAAACTGACCCTAGACACTTTCTAAATCTAATGTTTCCTACAAAAACAAAGCTACTGGAGAAAGACGATTATAGAGACTTTTCAACAGCACCTGAATTCGTCCATTAAAATAAGTTGTTATAGGTAGGAATAATGAATAACATTAACAGGCGCTATCCAAGTCTTTACAATCCCCCTCGCTCGTATTTGTTTTTCACTAAAGGATTCTTAACAATTTCTAAACATCACAGAACTGTCAAAAATTCCACATAGTTTCAGCGTCCTTCTACAAACATGTAACATTTGTCACTGATTAGGAGTAGTCAAGTAGGTGAGGTTGGCAAGCGGTTTTGTCGTTGTTATGCTGAGCTCATGGATGTCCTTGCCTATGTCTCCAGCCAAGTACCAAGCTCCTCCCTTACCTACAGTTAGCCCTGTAGTATCTAGTACTCAGACTCTCTAACCAATATACTTGAGTACTATTACTGTAATCAGAATTATTTGTTGTTTACTCTTAATGGGATCCAAATCCTTAACATAGTGTTCTAAACGTGATGCAAACTCTTTGATGTACGCCTATAATGAGAATCAGACTCTCAATTGAGTACTCATAATGCACCCAAGCCTTTACTTGAAGACTACAGTATTATTTTGACCCAGTCCCATAACAGAGTGCTCTTCCAGTTATCCCTGGCCTTAACTGAACACTCCTAATATGATGATAGCACTTTAGCCACAAGGTACCTACCATGCTCACCACCATAGATCTCGTATGTGATTTCAAAACGCTTAAACTTAGAAACAGAATCATGTGATATGCAGAGAGGAAGCACAACTTCATATCATAGACTAAAAAAAATGGTGGCAGCATTCCCAATTCCCTTTTCTTTTTTCTTATTTTCAATTTCCGTTTTTATATAGGGAGTTAGATACCGATCTTCATAACTACAAGATGAGGAACTTGGTAGCTTGGCTTGAGGTGCGGCTCAAACCCCCAGAGTTGACAACGTGACATGACGTAGTCTATCTCATAACCGAAGTAACAGAGTTGCTCAATTGACATAACATATAGTTTTGCATGACTGACATGACCACCGCCTTGCTTGATCCGGCATGACACATTTAGCTTGCTTTATCACCTCACCTCGACTTCCCACGTTAACTGTAGCCAATCTAAAGCCTTTCCAAGCAGCTTCACCTTCGGGAGGAGCTTGACAAGATGCCCGGACGTGATGCCGCCAGGCGCAGTCTCGCAATATAGATAATTCTTCTTCATTTTAGTTTATCATTGAAGCATTGTACCCATTTGTAAAATAAGAAAGGCAAGCCGTCACAATTTTTTAATCGCTTTTCGATGTAGCATCCCAAATAAACTAACAATAAAATCAGGGCAAACAAAAACATAATACACAATCCTAAAGGACTACGCCTATGCCTTATATTTCTATAGAACACTACCTAAGAGAATCTAATTATAAACGCTTTCTTTTAGAATTCATTTTAAATACAAACGTAAATTCCTTTCTATTTTTCTTTAGTAGAAAAGGTAATAAAAGTAGAAGAACTGTATTTACACATAGCGGAGGAGAAAGAGCGCGGGGAACCCCAGCCACAGTGGCAATAGCACCTTTAAACGTATCTATTGATTCCCAGGTATACGCTGCTCAAGTGTCACTATCGCGTAAAAAAAATCAAACAAATTACAACCAGAGATGATGAGAGAAAAAACATACCTATGTTTTTTTTAACCAAATTAAAACCTGCTATTGTTAATTTACGAGCAGTAAATGAGATCCTGGTAAAGCACGAATTGAAAAAAAACAAAAAGTACATTGGGATATACATGTGAGTTTTGTTTCAAATTCGAAAAAAAATGTATATTCAACTTTCAGAGAAGAGTTTCTCTGAAAAATAAGACCAAAACTTTTGCCGCACGGAAGCTGGGATACACGACGCGAAGGAGTTAAGTTTAAGACATGTGCAGGGTGGGGGTAGAGGGTAGGAGGTAGACCATTCTGTACCCCTGTAGTGTTCAGGGGGGAGGGGGTAAAAAAGGGTCAATGAACCTCCCTCTACATCCAAATGGGGAGGGGGGTGGGGAGGACATAAGGGGAGCTCAGACATCCCCTCCATGCCCGATTGGTGAATGGGGGATACAGAATTCCCCTACATACAAATGTAGGGATTTTAGGTGCAGGGACAGGCATACATTTGCATGCCCGAGTAATAGGGAGTGGAGTGGGGAGCAAAGAGGAACATAAGAGGTCCCTAACATGCCCGAATAATAGTAGTAGGGGATAGGGAATGGGAAAGGGGGCAGAGAGGAGTATAGACTTCCCCTAAATGCCCAAGTAAAGGGGGAGAAGGAAGGGGCTGGAGCAGGAGTGGTAATCCCCCCTCCACACCACCTTCAACAGTAGCACGTACAAGTCTCATCTACGAATTGAGCAATTGTCGTTCGCTTATATCAATAACAGGCTGTGATAGGGTGTCTAATGGGGGAGTCTAATATTATATAGATATCTAGAATTTAATGATATTTGGTGAGTTGTAGCCTCATTGACTCTTTCCTTTTTATTTAAATGTGTACATTAATGTGTTTTCACAGTTAGGGGGAAGATTCCACATATAGTTTGTCCTACGATATTAATGAAAATTACTACCATATGTTGACAGTATGACTCCGTTTACTACAACAGTGTAACCTCGACGATAATAAATATTTTATTAACAAATGATATACTGTATATAAATATAGAACATACTAAAAAAAATATCATCAGTAACAAAGGGTATATATAACACAGGCTTAAATAAATAAAAGTAAAAAATAAATTCGTGGGGTTTATCATGGAACAATTTAGAAATCTACACCTAAAGCCAATTATCACGTTGTTCCACATTTTGTACCGTCTAGGAGGAGGTGTCGAGGCGAGACTGTTCATTACAACTGCTCTACGGTGATCTACTTTATTACTATGACAGAGTGAGAGGATAGAACTTGTATATGCTAGATGGTGTTTTGTTAAAGCTTAAGCTACCCCTGAAGATGTGGGGTTAATCTTTTACATTCAATAAAATGCTACGTACCTATAATCTAAAGTCTGGGATCTCGGGGGAAGAAAATGGCAGCCCACACTCATTCGGGTCATTACGATCTTGTTATTCAACAGTTGGGATTGGGGGGTAAACGCCCCTATGGTTGCTTTTGTTTGGTCTGTCTTTTTTTTTGCAATAAACTCTCAGATTGTGAGATGACACTTTATTGCACCGAACCCCAGAGATTACCTTACGTCACAGCGCAAATAACTTTTAATCCTAAGACAGAGGTTACGCCCACAAAGAGCAGAGTGTTCAGAGGCTAGCCATGTCAGAATCCAAGACGTAGAAAAGTAATATTGTTTTGAGAGTCAGATCCTCACGTCCTTACCCTAGCGTGAAAGTAATTTATTTACAGTTGGTATGGAAGTTAGAAGAATTACACTGAATCCATTCTAATTAAAAAATATAAGTTGAAATACATGTGGTTTTTCTTTTTTGTACTCAAAGATTCCGATTGTGTCTGAACAGTCTGCCAGCCAGGAGCGCCCCCAATGAACAGAATGGCAAGTGATGTGTTGGTAATATTGATGGAACTTTGCCCTTTTAGGTCCTAAGAATTTACACGTGCTTCACAGGTCCTTTACCAGCCGTAGTATGACATACCCCTCTCGCATTTACCTCTTCATATAAAACTGTATCTTCTTGTGGATAAACCAGATACTGATTGTTTACCAAATTATGTAAACTTTGTTTTGAAACGTTTAGATCGATGTCTCAAAAACTTGAAACAAATGAATCTGAGATTTTATTTATCTCTTGTTTGGTTTAGTCAGTATTGTTCTCTTGTCATGATGTCATAACTCGTTTGTCATTGCTTGAAAATACCAAAAGCGCTAATCTTAGTTGTAGTAGGAATAGTGGTAGTGGTAGTAGTTATAGTAGTAGTAGTAGTAATTAGCGCCCTTTGATAGACAAATATTCACAGCAAAAAAATATACATTATCAACCATACTTTTACGTTATCCACGATTAACTGAGTTTGGTCTTAGGCCATAATAAATGTCAGATCACTGCTGTTTAAGATGCCATTGACTCAACATTCTATCTGTACCTGTTCTTCCGTCTGGAGTGATAATTTCACTGCCATTCACCAAGGAGTTTCTGCTTTGTTACTTTTCGTTATGTCGACCATCTTGTCAACACTATTATTCCGAGAATGAATCATAACACTGAATTTGTCTCACTGAATCGAATCGAAAATACCTGCTGTGTGTATGTTCTTTAATATTTTCTTAAGCTGGTCACATATTTCTACGAGTGAGGCCACCAGGTTATTATCTTTTCATCTATATATATATATATATATATATATATATATATATATATATATATATATATATATATATATATATATATATATATATATATATATATATATATATATATATATATATATATATATATATTCTTCATGATCACATTGACAATTTTTGCCAGAGACACCGGTGGTGAAACGCACGGAGGCATTGAGGTATAAGATAGCTTTAGCACCATTGTAGAACTGGGTAACTTTCAGTGAGGGTTGCAGCCTTGTGTCCTAAAATTTCCTCGCATTTTTTTAACAGGATGTCGGAGTTCTTGTTTTATGTTGACCTAAAGGATACGAAATTAAAAAAATACAAAAATAACTGTATAGAAACGTGTGAATAATTACTGCATATACAGTATGTTTCTTTTTTTTTTACGATTAGTGATATATAATTGACTTTTACTTCATATTTATCCTAAATTCATGTTAGGAAAAATTTTCTTGTACGTCATTACTACTTCACTGGAAATTCTAAATATCAAATAAATATTTGAATTACGAATCACATACTATAATATTGTTGTCACTAGCGACCATTTGACTGAATAAATGAGCGTAAGGAAAAAATATTCTGCAATACAAAAAGGACACTTTGGGCAGGGCACGGGAATGGAATGGTATTCTGAGAGTTGCAGATTGAGCGCCGGCTTCGTGTTTTGATAATATATGGTTTTTTTCACATTTTGATGCTCTTTTGTCTTTGGCTGATATAGTTTTTGTTTTGTTTTTGTTCACCTCTGTAGTCTTGTCATCTGTGATGTCTCACGTTCTGTGACTGAAGCTCGTAACATAGTTGTTAACATATTTCACTCTTCATGGTAACAGATTTCTCGCTTCCTGTTCCGAGCTTCTCACACTACTAGTTAATCCTAATCTTAATTTTCGTCGTCGTGTGGGTTTATGGATTTAGTTACATCGCCTGAAATCCATCGTCTGGCGCCGTGCCGTATGTAAGAGAGGCTCGCACGTTTCTCGTCTTCCCTGTTTGTTTTTTGGAAGCATTTCTGACAACGGGGTTACTGAACTAATATCGTCCTGCGATCCCGGAAGATAACGTTTAGTATCTTGTACTAACACTGTCGAGGTAATGTTTACTATCATGTTTATAAGAAGCCACAGAACGAAATTGTTTTGTAATATTTACATTTATACTTTCGCTGGCTGTTATCAAAGTCCTCGCGATGCGAACCATAACAGAATCTCAGGTAAAAATTAAGTTGTTTTCACGTGTTCATCAGCACTTATGACTCGATGGAAATCATAATATGTAAATCTTGGCGCAAGGAAATGTTAACCAGCGAGCTTTCGAGGACTGTCATTGATATCTAGAAACACAATCTTTTTTTGAATGAAGGAGTCAAAGCCGGCGTCACATGTGTAAGAGATGGAGTAGCGAGACACTTGAAGTCATAATAAGTTTGTCACCTCCTTATACATGATTCTTCTGCCTGATCTGCGAACCCTGGAGCTGAGGCTTGTATGGCAAGGTCAATGCTGGCGATTATCAGCTTTGAGCTTCTTGGCTGCTAAAGCTTGGTACAGAGAAGCTTCACACTCCTTTCGAAGCTTAAAATACAGCAAGTAACTCGTGAATTAAACATGGGATAACGCCAGTATAAACCGATTTTTCACACAGGACCTCAGTCACAAGGTCGTAATCCTTACTATGGTTGATATTTCCATTAAGAGGTCAGTCAGCTGTTTTTTTTTTGTTATGGTGAGTGGCGGTAGACTCAGGAGTTACCACGATCACACACTTGATAATTTCCGTGCCTCAAGTAGCATGGCAGTGGTACAGAATCCTTACATTAATATTTTATGTACAGCGCTAGACATCAGTATTACAACAGTACACAGTATGCATCCTTACCGATACATGGAGACGTTTTGTACATTTCAAGATAAAATCTAGCATTTTTTTTCATTTAACTTAAAACTGTGGTTACTTTCTGTCCTGAAATTCAAATATAAAAAAGAGAAGAAGACAACAAATAGATCATTTTCTTTTTCTTATCTTTTTTGTATTTTTTTGTATTTTTTTTGTATTTTTTCTTTGCTTTGCAGCCATGGAGCTCTAGTGACTTTTCATAGAATGAATAAAATCCATGTATACAAAGAAAATGATCACTGGTATGTTTGAAGGCAACCACTCACATACGTCAACGTTTAATTATCTTTTTTTTTAATCACTACACTACGTCACCACGACCCTGGTGATTTTCATCCTTACATTCTACACTGTACACAAAATAACACGAGTTTCTGGGGACAATCCTTATCCCATTTTTTTCAGTTATCAGTCATATCTGTTTACCATCCATTTTCCCTCTAACAGGATCTCGCACCTTTTCAACGCATGATATATTACCATAAAATCCATTTTTTTACATACATTCACTTATAGCATAACTTTGCTTCCTCTACCAAAGGAATAAATCTGTACATTCTAAAATCTGGATTGTTCAGGAAACCTTCTATTTTTCTCCAAGTTTGCATTGTGTCGGGCCTAGAGCGCCGCTCTTGTCGAGACCTCTTTAGCTTCCCTCACTCACATCTCAAGTCACTCTGGTGGGGGTCAAAGGTCACGCTTGGCTCACTGCTGGCGTCCATGCTTATATGGGGAGAACGGGAGAAAGGGTCAAGGGTGAGGCCAGCCACGGAAAGCAAGACACGGTGGGGCTGACGTCGACAGAGGTCAAGCTAGTGCGCTCTTGTGCTGGTCCTGTTGTGCTGGGTCATCCGAGGCTGCTGGCGGGGATGGGAGGTCAACGGAGACACAGGCCGACCTCACTGGTGCCTCTTCATGTGGAGTGCCAGATGATCAGAGCGGGAGAAGCAGCGGCCACAGTGGTGGCACTTGAAGGGCTTTGCTCCCGTGTGTTTCCGGAAGTGACGTGTGAGTTCGTCAGAGCGGGCGAACCTCCACTCGCAGCCTTCCCACGAACACCGGTAAGGCTTCTCACCTGAGGGAGGGGATACAGTGTTAGTGCTGATCACATGAGGTAGTACAAGTGACTACATACTAGTTAGGTAAAGAATATTTATATTTTAAGGGAATAGCCCACCCGGCACAAGTCATCGACCCACAACAGGGCCTGGGGCGAAAAAATAAGTTAAAAACAATTATAAAAAGAGGAGAAAGAGACCATATTAATCTACACCACGAAGATGCCGGAAAACCAGCTTTTTGAAGTGAGACAGAATGTAAGAGTATGGAGACACAGAAGAAGGCAGAGCATTCCACAGTTTGGCTGTGTGAGGAAAGGAGGAGGTACTATAACGGGTTATTTTAGTGTGACTAACACCCACAGATAAATGGTGGGCACCGCGGGCAAGACGAGTGTTACGAGCTCACGGTCTTGCCGGCGGTAAACAGGATGCCAAATCCATCGAACATTGCAATATAGATTATAAAAAAAATATATATATATTATATATATATATATATGTATATATATATATATATATATGTATATATATATATATATATATATATATATATATATATATATATATATATATATATATATATATATATATATATATATATCACGGGAAAATATGGAACAACGGCACCTTATGTCTTTATTCAAGACATCTTCAGTTGCTCTGATACATATATATATATATATATATATATATATATATATATATATATATATATATATATATTTATATTATATTATATATATATATTTATTTATTTATATATATATATATATTCCATCCTTAGCATCATGAAAAGAAAACTCATTGTTATTATATTATTTTACACACACACACGTATTAAAGTATGAGACCATAAGTATAAAACAACAAAGACAAATGTGTTATAATATCTGCCAAGCTGGAGTCACTGGAGGCCATACGGACGTCTTACCATCGCTGTCATATAACAAAAATAAATAAAAGTTAGGTTACAAACAGCAGGACAGACGCCCTACCAAGCATACAGCCATGATAAAAGATGGCTGGCCGGTTCATGGTCATACCTGTAACTAAAATAGCGTAATTACTCGTCCATAAAAAACAGGGGAACTGAAGCTGCGTGCGTTAATAATTGTTATATACACCACTAATTAATCAACACGAAAAAGTTAACAGGATGAGCGGTCGACCAGTTTCGTTGATATATATATATATATATGTACAAACAGCAGGACAGACGCCCTACCAAGCATACAGCCATGATAAAAGATGGCTGGCCGGTTCATGGTCATACCTGTAACTAAAATAGCGTAATTACTCGTCCATAAAAAACAGGGGAACTGAAGCTGCGTGCGTTAATAATTGTTATATACACCACTAATTAATCAACACGAAAAAGTTAACAGGATGAGCGGTCGACCAGTTTCGTTGATATATATATATATATATGTATATATATATATATATATATATATATATATATATATATATATATATATATATATATATATATATATATATATATAGTTGATGGCAAAGAGAGTTTGTTTGAGATGTATCATTTCATTTGTACAAGAAATACAGATGTGATGTTCATTAGTGTTTATTAGTTTTTTTTCATATTTTTCAATTTTCAAGCTAATAATTCTACATTTGCCTGTCCACCAACCCACCACAACCTGTCCTCCAGCCCACCACAAACCTGTCCACCAACCCACACAACCTATCCACCACCCACCACAACCTGTCCACCAACCCACCACAACCTGCCCACCAACCCACCACAACCTGTCCACCACCCACCAAGACCTGTCCACCAATCCTCCACGAACCTGTCCACCAATCCTCCACGAACCTGTCCACCAATCCTCCACGAACATCCACCAAGCCACCACGAGGTCCACCAATCCACGACCTGTCCACCAATCCACCACGACCTGTCCACCAATCCACCGCAACCTGATTTCTTTAATTCACGCCCTTTTCATGTTCCCCTCTTCCTTCTCTCACCATTTCTCTCCCACCCACCTCTTTCTTCCTCCCCACCCTTTTTCCTCCCACCACCACTCTCCTCCCCCGCCCTCTCTCCGTCCCCACCCCTCCCTTCCTCCCTCTCTCCCTCCCTCCCTCTCCTCCCTCCCCTCCCCTCTCCAACTCCCCCACCCTCTCCGTCCCCCCACCCTCTCCGTCCCTCAATCTCACACACACAAACAACTTTCGGCATCCTCCAGTAATCAAGTAAAAGAAACGAGATGACGGAACTCACAAACCCGACGCCTCAAAGGCACCAGGAAAACCCGGGGAGAAAACTGCTCATTTCTAAACATAGGTGGTATTGGAGACGCCCAGAGGAGGGGGAGGGTTAGGAGGGGAAGGAGTAGAGGAGGGAAGGGCTGAAGGTGGTGAGGAGGAGGAGGGCCTCGCCAACCACGTCCACTGATCAAAGCTCGGCGCTCTGACGGGGCGAGGGAGACGAGTCAGCTATGTCCACAGTCAGTCGAGTTCAGTCAACTGTGTTCACGGTCAGGTATATAATCACAGTCAACTGTGTCCTCTGTAACTCATTACCTTAACCATCACATACTGTATCAACCAGTTAGATGTCTCAACCATCATTCATTGCTACAATCAATTAGTTATTTTAATCATGGTTCACAGTAACCACCAGTTAGTTATGTTAACACCCAGATATTTTAACCACACTCATCCTAACGAGCTAAAGTTAGCCTCGTTCTTCTCCATTGGTAATAGATAAATCAGGGCATAATGTACTAAAGGTTCTTATTTAGTAGACAGTCGGGGGGGGGGGCACAGTTCTTCTCCCTCAAGTTACCAACTGTAGTCCAATCAGGTCTAAAATTTAGTGCTAAATCAACCTTCCCTCCCTACCTCTTCCCTCACTCCCTGCTTCCCTTCTTCTCTGTATCTCCCTTCCCCGCACCCCCCTTCTTTACTTTTCTTTCCCTTCCCTGTCCTCCTTTTCCCCTTTCATTCTTCCTTGTCCCTTTTTCCTCCTTCATCATGTCCGTAATCTCCACCTTCATACCCCCCCACGTCCCTTTCCTTACCTCTCCATTACCTGTTTCCCTCTCAGCCTCTGTTAACCCCTCTCCTTCCCTGTCTCTTCTCGCTTATCTCATTTTCCCCTTCCTTCCATCATTTCCTTTTCCCCTTCCTTCCTTCCTTCCTTCCTTCCTTCCTTCCTTCCTTCCTTCCTTCCTTCCTTCCTTCCTTCCTTTCCTTCTCCCTCCCTCCCTCCCTACTTTCCTTTTCTCCTTATCTCCCTCCCTTGGGTAAATGTCTAGGGTGAAGAATGGGGGAGGAAAAGGACGACGGTAAGGAGGATGAGGAAGGAGATACAGAATAGAAGGAAGGAATAAGAGGAAGAGAAGAGGAATTTTAGAAAATGCAAGAGGCAGTGGAATGTCTATCCTGTCTATAGTTTCAAGGGAGAATAATTTATAGGCCATTCACTCTAGGGATGTGATGTCTCTCCCCGTCAGATGGGTCCTTCAGTTTACGGTGATTGTGACTGAAGATTTACCTGAGAATGACGTAGCAAGGGAGTAAGGCAAGTAGTGAGATAGACAGATAGATAGGTCGTCAAATATTTACGAAGGTCGGTTCACAAACAATGTAGACAAGTTGGTAGCTGACAGAAAAAGTGAGTAGGTGCGAAGTTTGGTAAAAATGGTGAAGGAAAGTGAGCAAATTAGAAAGTAAGTTTGTAAGTTAGTAAGATAATTATGTGAAGGGAGAAGAGTACATAGTTAAGATGGCGAGCGGACAGGTAGGTAGCTTGTGGTGGGTTAGAGGACAAGTAGTGGTGGATTGGTGGACAGATTGTGGTGGATTGGTGGACAGGTGGTGGTTGGTTGGTGAACACGTTGTGGTGGGTTGGTGAAGAACACGTTGTGGTGGGTTGGTGAACATGTTGTGGTGGGTTGGTGGACAGGTGGTGGTTGGTTGGTGAACACGTTGTGGTGGCTTGGTGGACAGGTGGTAGTTGGTTGGTGAACACGTTGTGGGGGGTTGGTGAACACGTTGTGGTGGGTTGGTGATAATTAAAATAAGCTCAGTGATGTATCTCTATAATACACTGCGCCACGAGTGATCTAAATAAAAAAAAAATCCGATTATAACCCAAGACACATTTTTGTTTACAGAATTCACGTTACACACCACTCAACCATACAAGTCCGTAATTGTCTTAAGAAAAGTTCAGGAGGTTTTAAGAAAATATGATCGAGAACTCAAATCTCTTGAGTACGGTGACTTCAACCCTTGAGTACAGTGTTATCCTACTCATGGGAATATGTAATCTTATCCAAAGGCTTAAGACATGGCACTCAAGGGATTAAGTTATTTTTCTCCAGGGATTGTGGCGCCATCTTTTGTAATCCATTAGTATTTATATTGTTTACCCCGAGTTCATTCTCTTGTTTCTATTTCGTTTCTCCACCTACCTGCGTATCTCTATCTCCCTCTTTATCTGCCATTTTACATACCCTTCTTTCTCTACAGACAAAGTTTCACTATCCTCTCTCTCTCTCTCTCTCTCTCTCTCTCTCTCTCTCTCTCTCTCTCTCTCTCTCTCTCTCTCTCTCCAGGACAGAGTTTCATTATTTTCTTCCTTTCCCTCCAAGACTTCATACGTTCCCTCCCTCCTAATCTCTCCTCATTTAAGTAATATCCTCTGTAATACCTTTTCTTTCTTGTCTTTCATCTCTTTTTTTTTCAAAGGTTATTTTTCGGCCCGACTCTCTTCTTTCCCACATTTTCCCTCTGCATTTTTTTCAGCTCCATCTTTCATCACGGCTGTCCTTCTCCGAGCTTCGTACTCTCATATACATCCTTCCTCTCCTTCACATATTTTAATTTTTCGTCCACTTGTTCCAAAATCTTCAAACATTCACAATCATATATATATATATATATATATATATATATATATATATATATATATATATATATATATATATATATATATATATATATATATATATATATATATATATATATCAAAATTCTTTAA